GATGTAATAATTTTTTGTTATTATCTGACATTAATTGTCAGACCACCGTAACTAACTAAATCGATAGAATACAAAGTGATTCCAAAATCTACAAATCCAAACATGCCGCCACCCTTGAATGATGACATTATCATTCAATATAATTTACAAATGTATTGAACCAATCAACTGAAACAAAATTACATAAACCTAATATTCACAAATAATAACAATGATAATTTAAAATTCCCAAAATATACTTATGCCCTTTCTACGGGTAATACACAAAGTTCGGTTAATGCTCTTCGACACAAACCATTTGAAGTTTTTATTGTCACAACACGAGTAATTCCGTCCTTTCCCGGATGTAACATAGTAATTCTAGCTATGTTCCACTTAAGAGGTGGCAAATCTTTGTCTTTAACCACTACCAAGTCACCCACTTTGATATTTTCAACAGTTCTCCATTTGCTTCGTTGTTGTAGATTAGACAAATACTCGCGAGACCATTTCTTCCAAAAGCTTTGGACGATTTGAGAGATCAGCTGGTAACGATTTAACCTTTTAGTATTGGTATCTGTCAACTCTTCTTGGGGTGGTGCCAATAGAGACGTTCCAATTAAAAAATGCCCCGGAGTGAGCACCTGCAAGTCCTCTGTATCTTCTGTCAGGGGTACAAGCGGTCTTGAATTCATGCAAGATTCTACTTGTGTTATTACAGTGAATAGCTCCTCAAAAGTTAGTTTTTGTTGTCCTATAACCCGCGTTAGATGATATTTAGCTGTCCTTACCGCAGATTCCCACAAACCCCCAAAATGCGCAGCCCTTGGCGGAATAAAGTGCCAGTTAATTGACAATTCCGTAAAATATTTCTCAAATTCGGTTTGAACTTGTCTTTCCTTAATGAAATTTATTAGGGTCCTTATTTCGTTTCGCGCCCCTACGAAATTTGTTGCGTTATCTGAATAAATATTGGTCGGCAAGCCTCTTCTTGAGACAAATCTCTTAAAACAATTCAAAAATGCATGAGTAGTAAGGTCATTTACTAGTTCCAAATGTACAGCCCTTGTTGAGAAACAGACAAATATACATAAGTAAGCTTTCGTTGAAGCACAGCCTCTTACCTTTTTAATCATTATTTCAAATGGTCCAGCATAATCTAAACCGCAATTACTGAAAGGCCGACTGGGTATCACACGATCCTTGGGCAAATCACCCATGAGCTGATTAAAATTTTTAGGTTTAGCCCTTGCACAAGTTATACATTTTTGAACCATATTTTTTACAACTGTTTTTCCCGAAATTATCCAAAATTTTTGACGAAGATGTGCTAGTAAGGCTTGCGGTCCTGCATGTAATAACCTCTTGTGTTCATAATTAATTAATAGTTTAGTAAACTTACTCTTACCAGATAATATAGCAGGATGTTTTTGTTCAAATTGTAAATTAGAATTTGCTAACCTTCCGCCCACCCTTAGAATTCCTTCGTTATCCAGAAATGGATTAAACGCTAAAAGCTTGCTTGCCCTAGGAATATATTTTGATTTCTGTAATAGCCTAATTTCAGTTTCCCAATCTTGGCTTTGCGACATCTTGACTAACACCATCATGCAAGATTTCAATTCCCCAACGGTTAAAGATCCAGTGACTCTTAATGCTTTAGGTTTTCTGCAGTTACTCATAAATCGTAAACAATAACTCAAAACCCTTTGTAATTTAAATAAATTGGAATATCTTTCAAAGATATCAAGACTACTACCTACTAAGAATACCTTTCGAATTGTTCTTCTTTCAGGTAAATCATGAATTTCGAACTGCTTCTGCTTAGGCCAATTCGCTTCATCTTTACAAAGCCAATCTGGACCCCGCCACCATAATTTACAATTTTTTAACTGCTCTAAGTTCATACCTCGTGACACGACATCTGCTGGATTATCTGCTGATGCAACATGTCTCCATATAAAACCTTCAGTAAGACTTTGAATTTCTGATGTTCTATTTGCCACGAATGTCACCCAATCAGTTGGTTCTCCCGCTACCCATGATAATACTATGGAAGAGTCACACCAGAATATTACCCTATTGATATTGAAATTTATTGAATTCATTACCACTTTTGCTAATTTAGCCGACAGAAGCGCACCACAAAGTCTAGGTAATGAAATTACCTTTAGAGGTGCAACTCTAGATTTGGAACAAAGAAGTTTGGATTCGTACCTACCTTGTGAATTCGTAGTTTGCATGTAAATACATGCACCATAAGCAAGTGTAGAAGCATCACTAAAACAGTGTATTTGAATTTCTCTGACTTGACTGCAAAAGACGTGCCTAGGTATCTCCAGCGAATCCAATTCCTTAATTTGTTCCTTAAACTTTAACCAAGAAGTCGATATTTCTCCAACTAATTCTTCATCCCAACCCTTTTTAACTGCCCACAAGTGCTGCAATAAAAGCTTCGCCCTTACAATTATTGGACCTATCAAACCTAATGCATCGAACACTTGCGCCACAGTCGCTAATATTTTTCGTTTTGTCACCCTTTCATGAGCCGCCAATCTATCTAAGTTTACCTGAAATCGTAAAACGTCCCTACTAGAATTCCATAATAGCCCCAAGATTTTATAATTTTCAGAATCACTAGAAATATAATGCTCTATGCCTTGTCTACCTTCATCTTCGCACAAAACCTCACGTTTATTTGATATCCACTTCCTTAAAATGAAACCTCCTGATTCTAAAATTTTACTAATTTCCTGCTTTATTACCTTAGCCCCTTCAACAGACGTAGTTCCTGTCAACAGATCATCCATATAAAAGTTCGTCAAAATAATTCTACTGATTTCGGGATATTCATTCTCACACTCGTACCCTAACTGCTGTAAGGCTCTTACTGCCAAAAATGGAGCACTCGCCGTTCCATAGTTTACCGTATTTAATCTATATATCCGAACTGGATCCTCACTTGAAGATCTCCATAATATCCTTTGAAAATCTCTGTGATCCGCCCTTACTAGCACTTGGCGATACATTTTAGCCACATCCGCAGACACTACTACTTCATGTGTTCTGAAGCGAACTAAAATATTAAAGATATCCTGCTGCAACTTATGACCTACCATTAATTTATTATTAAGAGATAATCCGTTACTTGTTGCAGCACTGGCGTCAAAAACCACTCGTAACTTAGTGGTCAATGACATTTCCTTGATTACACAATGATGAGGAAGATAACAAATATTCGAATGACCCCTTACATCATCCTCTGCAACGTCTACTATTGAAGCATGTCCCATTTCAACGTATTCACTGATAAACTGACAATACTCTTTTCTTATACTCTCATTCTTAGTCAACTTTCTTTCGAGTGTAATCCTAGTTTTACTTTTGGGTAAGTTTAGCCTCTCCCATAATTCACTTGTCATAAAATTTGACATGGATCCGCAATCCAATAAAGCCCTACACCTATGTTTGTTACCCAAAATATCTTCTATGAAAACTATTGCTGTTGACAATAATACTTGTGACTCATTTCCTACCATCAGCTTAGACAAATCTTTTATGTGACCCGTAAATTCTACCATTGTGTCCCTTTGTTCAATATTCCGCTCCAACTCAGTCAAATTCGAATTTATTTCCTGAACTACCTGACTACAATGAGCTGCCTCCTTTTCTCCCGATGAAATGAGTCGTTTAGGATGCAACAAACTATTATGTCTTTTACCACAAACCCTACAACCTACACTTTTACAACTTTGAACTCTGTGTCCCGGTCTCAAGCAATTCCAGCATAGGTGAAGTGATTGAACTAATTCCCTTTTTTGTATTTCTGTTAACTCTAAAAACCTTTTACAATCTTTAATAGAATGATTAGTTTTGTCACATACTCTGCAAACCTGGTTTCCTTTGTCCATACTAACGAATGATTTTAAAAACCTGTCAGACTTTTTAACTTCATGATTTGTTGATTTCGCTACTTTTTTACTGTTGTCGGAATCCAGTCGCTGAAATTTATGTGAAAGAAACGTTAAAAAAGCATCTAGCTTTGCGAAATCGTTTAAAGTTGACCCTTTATAAATTTTCTTTTATTTTTTAATTCCTTCAAAGCAACTAACTCTTGAGGAGACATCTGACTGTCACCTTCAGCCATTTTTATAGATATTTTATAAAACTAATGAAGACTTATCAAACTTGTACCCGAAACTATAAAACAATGCTAGAACTGCTTTATCCAAATACCTGTACCGCTTCTATCTGTATGTATTCTTCTACCTAAGACGTGTGCATTTTCCAAGTAGTTTCTCACCAATTCCCAATTTAGAAACCCACTTGTCCATTGCTAGTCTTCCCCAAAACGATAGAAAACATTAACAGTATGGAGGCCTATCCAAAAAATCCAATTTTCTGATTACTTCCAGTGAATCAGTATCCCAGCCGAAGGACCAATGTAATGGCTAATGCCCCTAAATATCAATTAAAGATGCTGGTTCGTCCAACTATTTATTCTTTAAAGTACAGGATAACTTTTGGATCATTCAAGAATAGCGGACAAGATGTAATAATTTTTTGTTATTATCTGACATTAATTGTCAGACCACCGTAACTAACTAAATCGATAGAATACAAAGTGATTCCAAAATCTACAAATCCAAACAGTACCTTCTTTATACCTTCATACTCAATCCCAACCACTCACATAAAGCTCCCACCCCTTATTTTATATTTGCCTTTATTAAAAGCCAGTTTTAAGAAGAATATTTATGAGCCTAATAAATTTTGAGAATATAATCTGTCTGAATAACTTTAGCGTCAAATTTCAATCCAAATATTTGCTAAAGTATATCAGGGTAAGAAGTTTTATTGGGTTAAAGGGCTTTTAATCGGTTACGGAAGCATTTCACAATTCTAACATTTTGATGCAATTCATGAAGTGGCTATCGATAAATATATGCATTTGGTTTAAATAATTAATGTTTCGATTTCTAATGATATAACGCAATAACAGCTACTTATAATCATTTTAGGTGATAATGCAGATGAAACAACTCTTTTAAACGTATGGAAATGTATAAAACCTAAATTGCATGCAGGCATACCAGAAATTGATGTCCCCAGTTATGATCCATATTTGCTCCCATTCAACTTAACTTTTGGTGCTGAGATTATCGTCTTCAAGTAAGTTTTAAGATTTTTTTAGATCTTTTAACTAAATTATACGCAGTGCGTCTATAAAGTAACGCATAGATTTATTATTATAGCTAAATAAACACCCCATTTTTTCAACTTCCAGGTTTCCCTTGCTAAGCTGATTGGTATAAGTTCGGCAAATATACAAAAGTTTTTTATAAATTCATTATTAGCTAAAAAAATATTTTGTTTTGTTTTTAGTAGTGTATCAGAGTAATTGCATAACTACGTTATTTTCATTAATTTATTTATTACGTTTATTGTTTATTTCTTGTTTTGAAATTAACTTGAAATTTTTATATTTTTGCTCATCCTTCACCAATTTGAAGCAACGTGTGATACAATTTTTGGAATCAGCTAAGCAAAGGAAATTCATAAATTGGGAAAATGGGACTTTCTATTCATAAAATGCGATGACATATGTACTCTGTATATTAGGTTATTATTTAAAAAAAAAAGCAAATTAAAATCAAAAATCCAACTGTTTCGGTAATTTTTATTATTTTTTAAATAGCAAATGATGAATTTATGCGTTCCTTTATGTGTCCAAAATTGATGTCGCATGTTTTATCTTTGTTATTATAAACGATAAAACTATATTATGGAGAATTTTTAAAAACAAATTTGTGAAACTCATTTATGGAGATTAAAATGTCCCAACTTTTAGTTTACAAACTCTAACTCTTCATTTTGTGTATTTAGCACAAAAAGTTTCAAGTAAAAATAACTTTAATTTATTAAGGGTAAAAAAATGCCATTCTCTAATTTTCACCACCAAACATTAACAAAGACTAGATTGTCACGGTTCGTAGACTTAAACGGTGGCCTCATCCTGTTGCCAGGGATGGAGTTGTTACGTCCCAGAATAAAAAATCAAGGTAACAGAAAATATTCTGGCACGGTTCGTACATTAGTTTTTTTTAAATCGTTTTATTATTATTTAGTGGTGCTTATTATTTTTGGACTATTTTTCAGTGTTAGATTAATATAATATTGGTATTTTGAGTTTTTGAAAGACAAACTACAAAACATCAAGGAAAAATAATGTAATTAGTTTTGTAAAATTTCAAATGAATTAGTTTTATTTGAATTATAAAGAGGAACATTATTGTGTGAATGGTGTATTTTAAACATTTTGGGTTAGGGTACGGCCTCCAAGCCAAACTAGAACCACATTTTGTTTATAATCTGAAATAATTTGAAGTTTTAGCATACCTTGCTGGAGCGAGCTGTAGTGTTGCTCTTTGCAAACACAATTTTTATAAACAAAAATCATCAGAAGAAAGGATATTTTCTTTACCTTTTCCAAAAAGCGACTATTTACAAAATATATGAATGCAATGTTTTAGAAAATATTAGATCAATTTTAAAACTATGAAAATATAGTGCTCATTTAAAGAACGAAGATTCCATAGACGACATTCGGTTGCGACTCATGTAATAAAACCAGGTTGTTTTATTCGTTTTTCTTTTTGAATACATTATACTGTTCATACATAAAATAGCTACCCAGACAGCACACGTTAATCCATTGGATGCCCATCGGAAGTTAATTGATGGACATATATCGGCTGTCCAAGGAACGTCCAGCATTTTACCGAAGGACATCCAATGTACTATACAAATGTCCCACTCCTAGACAGTACGTCTATTTGGACTCCATGAGAAGTCCATATATGGACTCGTTTTATATTACATTTAGACAATGTATGGACATCTGATGGAAATAATTGCAACTATGGATATATTTTTATTGTTAAGCACGTATTGGTTTTATATACACTCCTTTCTATCGACCTTCTCATCTATTTCCTTATAGCTATTTCGCTTACTTTTTAAGCAGCAACATTGTTGCATTCAGCAGCAGCTGAAAAAGACATTACATTTTATATGAATATTGAGTCTTAAATCAATTCTTTAATAAACGCCTGATCAGGCAAAACTGATAGTTAAAAATGTAAAACTTTTAAATACAATTTTATTAACTAATATGAAAATATGCATTGACTAATGTACTTTACCACTATAATTACATATAAACAAAAAACTGCTCATTGGTTCTTTAAATGACCATTTTACTTTCATAACATCATATCATGTAAATTTTTCCACGAAGGTTTTAGAAATTATGGTAACAAAACATCTTTTTATAAGTTCGTAAATGTCCTTCCCTCATGGTTTTGTTAACTGCTGAATCTACAATTGCAATGAAAGTGGTATTTATTTTAAGATTAAACGACTTACCTGTAAGGAAGTTCAATCGTAGTTATACGACTAGTTCGGTCCGTATTGTAAGTCATTTAATCTTAAATTATACTTCCTAGTTCGATCCTAATAGAACACACATGTAGATGTTTAAAGCACGGGAGCGATATTCTTCGATGCTTTTTTTTAAAGTAAAGTCCTTATAATAAATAAAGTCCATATAATGTTAATGATAAGTAACTTTAATTAATAAAATTTTATCAAAATTCTTATTCATTATTATACAATTCCATTAAAAATAATACAACAGTACAAATTATGTTTTTATTATTTAACTATTTTACTTATAATCTAATGCCATATCAAAATACAAATAGGTGTATATATATTTCATTAAGCTACTTTCTAAAATTAAAAAATCTTTAGATTTCTAATTTGTAAATCAGGAGTTAATATTTCTCGCTAGTTCATTGGCCTATTATAAACTAAATAAAAAAATTTTGGGAAATCTTTTCTCAACCGGCTGCAGCTCTAATCGTTTCTATGTTAACTCCAGCTCTAAATGCCGCTTAAGAAGCGGCATGCCTTAAATACTATAGGCTTAAGAAATATTCGTATCAGTGCCTTCTTTATCTACCTTGAAGCAGTCTCATAGGACGCTGCATGGTAAGGCTTGCGATGTGTAATTGGTAATTTCTCAATTTTACCTCTTATTAATTTAGTTTTTTCAATGTAAAACAATAAAACCGATTTGACACATATCTCAGGTTTTTTTTAGAAGGGCATTTTAAACTTAGGCTGATCATAACCTGGACCGGATGATTTCAATAGTTTCGGCATTAATATCCCAATTTTCTCCCCCAGGTTACGAATATTCCTTATCTCTATTGTTGAAATAGTTTTTATCCTATGTAGTGTACAAAGAGTAAGTAGTATAAATATAAAGATAATAAGTAAGATAAAAGAGATTACGGGTCCCACGTATGACAATATCTAGGAAATGTAGGACAAGGTTTATAAACACTCTTCAAAAAACGATTTATTAAGTGATCCTCTGTATTTTTGACAAAATATTCATCACGATCTAATAGTATTAAAAATAGAGTAACTTTAGCCCTTAACAAATTGGTCATTTAAAAATTCAATGATATTGTTTACAGAAGAACTATTAATTTTAACGAACATCTACCATTTTCAATCCTCTACCTTCATACGATCTCCTGATAAGAGTTCTATAACCAGGGTAAGGCTCGACCACAGGAGGCAACAAATTTTTTTTTTAATTTAATTTAGCCTACAGAGATAAAGTCACCAACAAGTAATTTCGTAAATATGGGAAAACATGGCTGCGTTTTCCAATAGGGTACTATGACCACCCCCCTCCCTTTTTCTAAAATAATCTTAATAAGTACTCTGGTAATAAGAAAAAATGGAGGAAAAGCATAAATCATCATTGAAGGCCAATTTAAAGTAAAGGAATCCACCATGAAAGATCCTGGATCCTTTTCCATGAGAGTTATGTTCGACATTTGAGAGTCGCCAAATTTTAATATTATTTTTGTGAAAACTTAATAATTTAAACTATATTCGGTTTCGATCGATTTTGATCTTGATTCAAGGTGCGTCTCCGTGTTATTTACAGATTTTATATAAGTTGCAATAATAAATATATTTCTATTTTCACACCATCGCCATATTATCTAGATAATTTAGAGAGGGATATGTGCGTAATGCCTCCCATTTCATTGACATATGCAATAGCAGTCTTGTTATCTACTCTCGACAATATAGAATAATTATTTTTTTTTTCGACTTAACAAAACATTTTATTGCATTAAAAACATCAAATATTCCTAAAATCAAATTATATGTCTCTTCTTCTGTTGTTCATCCTAGTATCCGCGACAAGCTTCACCCTTGTAAACTGTTTCCCAAGCATATTTAGACGCATCCGTATATATCTCAAGTTGATATTTCCTTATCAACAGAGGCTCATGTGAATCAGCCACCAACGCAAATTAGATTTTCCTTCTTTTGAAATAAATATTTTTGAGTTATAATTCCCGCTAGTGTACCCCAATGCCAAACATTTTTCCTTTTCTAGAATTTTAGTGTATTACCATAGCGAAACAGATTTAAGGCTATCAATCAATTTTACAAAACTTCTAATTTTAGATTCATCTACTTTTAATGACTTAATCTATTGTAAATTTCTTTTAATTGTATTTCTTGGCAAAAATATAGGTAGTAAATTTGCTAGAGTTAAAAAAGAATCATATACATCCTTTGCTAGGTATCAAACATGATTTACGGTAATTGATCAAAAAAACCTAAAGCCTCTAACCAACAAAATGGAATCTTGCAAACATTCAGAGTGATTTTCACCAAAGAAAAAATATCAACTAAATAATTCACTAAAATTTAATATAAAAATATAATATATATTGTGTAAGCGGTTTTAATATCTTTGTAAAAACAAATGTTGCTGTACATAACCCAAACGGTTTTAATTCCAAAGTAGCCAAATGGCTGAATTTGGTATTATGTTTTTGAGAGTTCGATAATCATCCATTTTAAAATTCAAATGAATGGGCGCAAGTTTAAATTATGGTGCCTGTGTAAGTTGTTTTTCCTGTTTTGTTGTTTTCAGTTCTGACCCTGATTTTTTATTAGCTTGTGCTACATTACATCTATTTAAGGAAGTTTCTACGAATAACATCTTATCGACTTTAAACTCACTTGCAACCTTATGCATTTCTGTTTTTAAATTGGGATATAGTGTG